ACGAGACTGAGTTCAATACTCTGTTCAGGCAGTGGAGAACTTGGAGAGGGGAATTAACAAGAGAAAACTGATAACTGACATCCATTAAAACATGGCACGTGGAACTAGAACAGTCTAGCCCAGTGAGCGAAATAAAGGGTTCAGTTCGACATTACAACCACTTGAAGAATATGGCGACAAAGATGAGGACAATAGTCCGAATAATGTAAATAATGATTGTTTTCTATTTTAATCTAAATGAGATATTCAGCATTCATCGACCGAGCTCTCAGTACTGATTTCGGTTGAAATTTATAAAATACTTTCAGGAAAATAGGTTTCTCAAGTTGAATAGCTCTTATCGTTCTTTTCAGAATTGATGGGGATTCCATGCCTAAATGTTTGTTTGAACAAGTCTGGAATGCCAACACCATGATTATTTTCTCTTTGAATTGCACGTGCTATCCATTTTAGTTGTTGCTGCTATTGGTAGTTTTCAAGTGATGTCGGTTCCGTTATTTGGTACAGTTCTTTGTGATTCTGTAGCGCCATCCCACTATATTCTTAGAAGGATGGTTTTTGACAAGATCCACAGGCTTCACTCGCTGAAAACCATTTTTAACCATTGATCTGAGAAAGAGCTGGTATGGAGCTGATAGTTTAGATATTTCTGACTGGGTTTGGCATCATATACAAGTACTTAACCGAATGTGTAAATTTTATTAAATAAAAACATAAAAAAATAGATGTTGCGGAGGGCCATAATTGTCCATTTTCCAAAAGGGAGATGGTACATCAGAGAACAAGCGGTATGCAAACCAAATTTCGCTTCTGTTTTGCTGACGATCCAATTTAGAATCGAACATATGAGAAATCACTGTAATTTTCTTTAACACCACCATGATGAAGTTGAAATAAATACAATTCTGAGGTTTGCTCATTTGGCAATATTTTTGTAAGTAGTTCGAGCTGAACTCATTGGAACGGAGGAGTGAAAAATATTCAGCTAAGGACCTGTTTTCATCTGCCTATTCATTTTTCTATTATTTTTTTTTATATTGCTGGAAACTATTTCGCGTATTGAATCGTAAAGGCCAGATAAAATGTCTTCAAAGATACGATTCAATTTTAAGCTTGGGTGTTTTCTTTTTTTATACGATTTACAAAGGGGACGACGTCAACACTTGTTATTCTGATTTAATATAGCCTTTAGAAGTCTTTTCCGGTGGAACGTAGAATGTGTGACAGTATCATGATGAATTCAGCGGAGTACTTTTTTGTGTGTCAAAATAGGATCACAGGCCGACGAATATTCGTGTCTTCACCTTTACAATTTTTAAGCAAAGAAACACTTGTAGCAAGCGCTATAATTTCCAACAGAACGTAAAGCTGACTTAAAAAAGAAACATGTATCAAAGAAGCCTTCCAACTCGTCGACATTTTATCCAGTAAAAGCATATTAATATTTTTCATCCAATAAGATTATGAATGAATATATCTTTCTCAGTAAAATATAGCCTTTCTCTGTAACATTAAACATTAGAAATAGTCGGTTGTTTTTAATAATTAAGATTCAAAGTGTTAATCAGAGTAAAAAAATATGACAATGGATAATCAGGTATTGAGAAGGCAAACGATTAAGGTAAGGCTTCAAGAACATAATGCTGTAACACGAGGGGAAGTGGAAAAATCAGGCGTGGCTGACCACATATTTAGAGAAAAGGGAGATCATCGCCCTCTGTGGGATCAGGTTGAGATCATAGACAAAGAAAACCATTGGAAAATTCGTAAACTTAAGGAATCAGCACACATGCTAGGTCATAAAAATCTCCTGAGCTGACCAAGCATAGAAATGAATACATATTGGAAATAAGTAATAAGGAGTGCCAGAGAAAATGCAATATGAGCTCTGGTAAAAACATGCAATGATAACAGCAAAAAATTGCAATATGAGCACTGGTAAAAAATGATAGCTGAGGACATTAGGTTTATAATACCCAGAAATGTATACAAAGATGTCCTCAAGGACACATGGCACAATGGATAAAGGCGTTAGTTAGATAGAGTCACGGGACCCAAAGAGTGTGAGTTCAATACCCGGTTAAAAACTCGGAGAGGAGAATTAACAGGAGATAACTGACAACTGATTTCTATTAAACATGTCACGTGGAATTAGAACAGCCTAACCCAGTGATCGAAATAAAGAGTTCAGTTCGACATTCCAACCACATGAAGAAGGCCGGAGCGTACAACGGCTAAAATGTTGTAATAAAAATGGCGACAAAGATGAGGACTATAGTCCGAATAAAGTAAATAGTGTACATAATACCTCATCTCAGAAATATAGACAGCTAATGAAGGACAGAATATGTCATGACTAATCAGGATCGATAATGTTGTAGATTTTTCCGTACATTTTCTCAAGAATATTTACATATATAGAAGAAGCACTAAAGCGAATATGGCAACAATATTCAATGCACAGACGAATGGTAGTTTTCTAAATATTCAGTATAAATTCTGCAGCAGCAGACATTTTCTTTTTTCAATATAATCCACGTCATGTAAATGGAAAACATAAGACCAAGAAGTTGCTCATATGCTCTCCTCGAGTTTAGCATAAGCCACACTGATGGCAGGCAAAAGTTATGAGAGTAGTTTCATTTTGGGCGCTTTAAAATTAACAATCCAGTTCTAGCCCCAGTTAAGAACAGATTGAATATTATTTTCGAGACCAGCTGCCAGTTTCTTTTGTTTTTTTTTGGTTTTCTTTCGAGATCCCGACATTTTAAAACTCCGAATTAATCACCGTTTCGTGCCAGTCGGTCTCGTCTGCTTTCAATCAATTCGTCATGACATGTTTCACAATGGCTGACTTTCACACAATCATCGTCGAAGGTTAACTTCTGTTACTACCTTATTTTCTCACATACTGACAAGAGAGATGTATGACTGAACACAAACTATACGTTAGTTTTATACGATTCGGTTTAAATTATAAATAATTCCGTAATCGGTTGGTCTTTTTGAAGATCATAACTCATGAATCATTAAATCGATTCCTCACGACTTATCTACTAAATTTTTTAACTGATTAAAAATCTTCTAAATAAGAGAACAACTAAAATAAATAAATCGTTGAAGAGATTTTATCTGGTCTTTCCTATACGATAGGTGCAATAGGTTCCCTCATTCTTGAAAAAATAGATACGCAGATAAAAACAAATTTTCCACAGCCCTAGTTATAAAGAGAATGAAAGAAGACGCTAGAATGTTTTCGGCCCGACCTATTTCTAAAATTGTAACAGAAAATAAGTGGCCATTTATTTGGACAATATTTCATGAAGATATTTTTAAAATCAAAATCGTTGGAAAATGATTTCATGTTTTCTGTGTGTATCCTTTGATATCGTCTGCCTTTGATGAAGTCATAGCAATTGACAGACATATGTCGTAGAAAACTAACTAATATTTTCTGAAACATGTAACGAAGTACAAACAACCAACAGAATTTGACATAAATCAAACCATCCTCGAGTTCACTTTGTAGGCCATTTTGAATGAATTTTTCAGACTTAAAAAGTATCACAAGTATCAGGTTTTAAACTCACTTCATTCAGTTTTTAATAACGTTGCTGGTTTGATTACACAACTAATATCTTTTAATTGCTACAGAAAATGTTATACTTATATTCATACTAAATCAAATATATTTAAAATATCAAACTCTCTTGTGTAACAATTCGTAAACCTTAATTAAAAAAAAATAGTTTTTTAATCATTTCATCTAAGCAAGGCAATAAAGCCATTAGGATGCACTTACTGAGTGTTATAAAATATGTGAAAATATACTACTAAGGAGAGAAGACAATAAAATAAAAATAGTTAAGAAGACAGAAGATAACGGTTGACAATGTATTCAAATTGTTTAAGATCAAAGTTTACAGGGAAGTTAACACACGGTTACATCTAGCCATTTCAACTGTCAAATGATGAGATCTTGCCTCCAATGTAGTACTGAACCTAAATTCATAAAGTCTAGATACGATAGAGTAAACTTCACTGGAACTGTAGCAGAAACACACAAGTTACACATAGAAATGACAAATTAACGCCAAATTTAGAGAACTACTAGAAAGCATATCTCTTACTAGCAGCAGCGCCCGGCGTTGCCTGGGGATGTAACAGATAGATCAAGAATCGACCATCATGAAGACTGAAAAATAAAATTGACAAAGATTATTGTTTAAGGTTGACGGACACGCATGTCTTAATTAGTTTTTTTTTTTTTACGAATTGGTCAAACCCAAACTCAAACAAAAATATTGTTTTCAAACGTTATTGAATAGAATTTTATTATAAACAATTGTCTTGTAAATGGAATTTTTAAAGCATTCTGAATGTAAAAATAAAGAAGAAAGTGTGCAAGTCAATAAGAAACACTCCCTGCCAAATAAAAAGTCAAGTTTTGTTGAAATCGGTTGAAAAATGTAAGAAATCCGATCCCATATATAAACGAACACACACACACACACACACACACACACACACACACACACACACACACACACACACACAAACACACACACAAACAACCTGTTTTTTTTAATAAGTATAACTCGATATGAGTTGTCACCCTTTCATTCTCGCGATAGCGATGCCTCTTAATCGTGTTTTCAAATTGATTTCGTGCAAAAACAATTGTGTTTTTTCCAATTTTTCGCGCTGTCAGAACCACCACAAGGTAATTTTACGTAGTCCTGGGAAGTTTTGTTGAAATCTGTTGAAAAATGTAGGAAATCCGATCCAATATGTAAACGAACAGACACACACACACACAACCTGGGTTTCATAATAAGTATGATTACACACCAATTTTCGTCCAGCTAACTCAAACACGCCTCACTTTACTCAAATATTTTAAACAAAGACAAATATATCAAAGTGCTGGCCATTATCGACGCGACTCACGCTTGCCACAGATGTCTACAACTACCGTCCTCGCGCTTTACTTACATAGGCTATAAGAGAAGCCGGACAGCAGAAGAGAGAGAGAGAGAGAGAGAGAACAGAGAGAGAGAGAGAGAGAGAGAGAGAGAGAGACTACACACACCCAGATAAACAATGAGGGTACTCGAGAGCACATCCGACCATTAGGCTGTGAAAATGACTTCCTGTGGACACAGAAAGAGAACGAACTCTTAATATCAAGGCGACAAGCCCAAACCGATAGCTAACAAGCAATCAGCCGGATTAAGCATACTGTTTTTCACACTCTCATTTCACACTTTATACACCATACATTTGAACACTTTGCTATACGACTTACCAGAGACATTGTCATATCTTGTAAATGAAAATAAATCTTTGGTCATTTCTCTTCACACACTTCATGAATAATTTCATGGTAGTCTATCGGATCCGGGTTGAAAGTTGGTTGGAGTAAAGCAAGAATTAGAAATTTGTTTAATTTTTTCTTTACTTCAAATAACTTCCACCTTGCCATGAAAGTCTTTACAGAAAAAAAAAAAAAAAAAAAAACATATAAATTTATTATTATAGAGAGTAAAACAGTCCTATAAATTTTTCCCTCGTTGAATTTTTCCATAAGTAAGAAGCTTTATCCTCACTCTAAAAAAAAAAAAAACTAAGATATATTTTAAAATTTGTCATAGAAAAATAAAAATATTTATAAATAAAAAAAATATATTTCGTATGAGATTTTAAGTTTTTAGTACAAAAGTTTTTAAACTCTTTTGTTTATATCTCTTTGCGAGGGTGGGCCGAAAAGTTCATAGGCTGACTATGGAGGTGTGATGCCAGGGCTATAAAAATAACTTGCATTTAAAATCATAATAACTGCTTTGTTTCTTTTCACGTAAACTGATACCTGACGGTTCAAAAAAAGATTCGAAAGTAACTAGTAGAGACTTATCTTGAAAATCGACCAAATTTGACATGATAGAATTATCAAGTACCTGCAGACTAACGGTTTGGTTCCCGAGAACATTCATGCTGATATAGTTGCTACATAAAAGGATGAAGCTCCAGCTTTGTCGCGAGTGTATAAGTGAGGAACTGAATTAAGGAGGAAAAAAAGACACTTGAAATGGCCCAAGGTTTGGACATCTTGCAATTGCCACCGCTGAGGAAAACATTGATCGTGGTTACCACATGGATGGCAGGCGATTGAATCTAAATCAAGTAGCCAATGCTATTGACATATTCTGTGAGAGAACTGAAAAGATTTTTCACAATGAACATGGCAGCTTTCTGCTCGATGCCTGCTACCTCTTCTGACACTTAATCTAAAACGTATCAGACTAAACACATAGATAGAGACAAAGAGACAATCCATGCCATCGAAACATCCCTTCTCACCCACTCCAAAGAAGATCTTCGATGTTTATTAACTATCTTCAAAAGGGCCACACCATCAATGGAGAGTACTATGACAAATTGCTTAGGCAGTTATCAAAGGTTATCAAAAGTCCAGGAAACCTGACGAAATATATTTTGTATTAATTCTCCAACACACAAGTTCTTGGTTATGTGCTTGATTGTTGCTTTGAACATCTGACCACCCAATTCTCCTGATTTAGCCAAATTTGACTATGATCTGTTCCCCAACATGAAACAACAATTGTCTGGGAACCAGTATCGCAATGATGATGTCATATCTGCTGTTAATGACTTTTTTGACCAACAGGATGAAACCTTTTCACCAATGGATCTCAAGCAACACCATTCAAATGAGTCCGTGCATCGCAAGGCGGACTATGTTTAAAATAAAACTCATTTAGTCACTTTCCCTGAGAGTATCTTAGTCAGACTATGAACTTTACAGCTGACCCTTGTATATAAATATAGATACATATTTCTTTATATTTAAACAGGAAATTATTAGATGTGACCGTGAATTCTATCCTAACAGTTTATTCTCTCGCACTTCTCGCTTGTGGAACTCTTTTCTATCTTCTTGCTTTCCAGTCAAATTTGATTTTCAAAAATTTAAATGATCTTCAAAAATTTAAATGCAATATCGATTTTATCTAGTGTCTTCTTGATTCCTGTTCTTTTATTGTTTCCTCTACTTAGCCGTATTTTTTCTGAGACTCTTTTACATTCAGTAACCCATTGCGTCTCTGCTCTTGACGACCAAAGATTGGCAACTGATATCTTTTCCGATCCAGTACGGAAAAACTGACTGGTTACATTCAATGCCTCGAAAATCAAACTATTAACAATTCATCATTGCTGATCGGACCCCGAACAACCGCTAATCATGATGAACGTCCCTTGAAGGACTGTTGGGCCTTAAACTAACACCTGACATCAAGTAGAACACGTACATGTGAGCTATCGCTAAAAATGTAGGTAAAATTGTCGGCTCCCTGTGCAGCTCCAGTAAGTACCTGACTCCATGTGCTACATTTTGCAAGAGCTAGATCAGGATTACTTTTCTCATATTTCGGTGGGAGCTGCACAGACCGCACTCTCCGGCCTCAGTAGAGTCCAAAAGCATATCCGAGTAGTCCTTGTGGGTGATGAATTATTTTCCACTATTCAACCTCCCTCTCAAAAGCTGAATCGCTGCTTACAAGGAAAGTGCTCGGACGAACTGCATTCCTTAGTTCCGTCAGGTCAAACATTTACGGCTAGGACCCACCATGCCACTTACATTGTAGCAAACCACCTACATTCCCTCCGTATTACTTCAACGAGAAGTTCTACAGGAACAGCTTCTTCCCTAGAACCTCTGTGGAACCGACATCCAAAATGGTGCTTCTTCGATCACTACAATCTTAACCTGTTCAAGTCTAGGGTTGACCGTTATCTTCTCCTCCTATACTGTTAATGTAATCCTCTACCTCGAGTGGCACCCGGGCCTTATACATGGTGATCCTTACTATAAAAGAAAGCTCTATCGCCTTGCTCTCAGGTCACCTGTTTAAAGTTTTCTATTTGATTTTTTATCTTGATGTTCGTTAAGGGAGTTAAGCATAATAATATTTCTTCTCACATAAGAATATCTCTTTGGACAACAATTTTTGTGTTGAAAAATGGGTTATTAAAATAAATCTTTGCCTCTTCTTATGATAATAAAGCGCTGTGAACGTCCGTCTGTCCGTCCGTTCGTTTTTCGATATCGGCGGGTCATAAACAACCTGGTCTTTTTGAAGATCATAACGCATGAATCATTAAATCGATTCCTCACGACTTATCTACTAAATTTTTTAACTGATTAGAAATCTTCCAAATAAGAGAACAACTAAGATAAATAAATCGTCGAAGAGTTTTTATCTGGTCTGGGGAGTAAGAGAGAGAGAAAGAAAGAGAGATGTAAGGTAGAGAAAAAGTGAGAGAAAAAGGGAGCCAGAAAAGCGAAGAGTGAGATAGAGATAATAAAATGGGGGATAGGCTAGAGATAGGGGATAATAGAAAGAGAGAAAGATGCAAATTTGCAAGAGAGAGGATAAAAAGGAGAGGCAAGGAAGGGAGAAAAAAAGGTTGAGGTAATTAGAATTGGAAAAGGAGGCAAGAAAAAATGGAAGGAGAATATAAAAGAGTAGAGGAAAGAGAGAAACAGCGAAGAATAAGAAGAGTGAGAAGCAAGAGTGAGGTGGAGATTACAAAAAAAGAGAGAGAGAGATAACAGAGAGAATAGAAAAGAGAATCAGGAGAGAGTAGTGGCGGATAGAAAGACAAAGTGGGAAAAGAAACAGAGATAGAGGAGTATAAAAAAGAGGAGCGGCAAGAGAGGGAGAGTAGAAGGAGAATAGAATGAGGGTGAGCAAGAGAGTGAAAGAGGGAGTGAGGATAGAGAGTGATAAAATGGGGGAGAATAGAAAAGAAGAACCACACAGAGAGAAGTAGTGGGTGTAGAAAAGAGGAAGATATTAAAAGAAAGAATGAGGGAGGGAAAAAGGTAGAAGAGGAAGAAAAAAGATGAAGAGACAATGAATTAAAGAGGGGAGTGAGAGTAGAAAGAAGGATAGAAGGAGGGAGAATGGAAAAGAACGGCCACAAAGAGATTAGTGTACAAAAGAGGAAAAGACAGAACGTGGGCGAAAAAGAGGGAGAAGAAGAAGACTCTTTGGGGTACTTTTTTCTCCTTATTTCTATTCTCACTCTCCTCGGGCATTCTCTTGCCTCTCCCTCTTTTTTTCTTATTCTTTTCCCTCTTTTTCCCCCACGTTCTTTCTCTTAATATCTTCCTCTTTTCTACACTAATCGTTTCTCTCTTTGTGGCCGTTTTTTTCTATTCTCCTCTCCTCCCGTCCCTCTAGCAATATTTCATCTGAGGGAAAGGGGTTGTATGATGGAAAATCTTTCATCGCTCACAGAGCTGTGCAAACCGTTGCCGATATTCTAATTTTCCCAGAACACCCGGTGTGCATCGATTTTTTTTATTTTTACGAAAGCGAAGCACTTTTCTGACTCCATGCTGTATTAATCGAAAGTTTGTGCCTAACTTAAGTCACCATTCTTCGAGCAACATTAAACACATTGCTCTGTTAAATCACTTACTAGTCGATTGGATACTATCTTCGGGTGACTCAATATTATAGGGTTGGTCAATAATAAGTAAATACCAACAAATTTAATCTTATTCTTTCTTTATGTACCGTGCATCCTCATGGCTCTCCACAATTCGCTCTCCTTGTAGCACTTAATACATTATACGTTATTTCTCCTAAACCGTGTCCCGCCACCTATTTACTAAAGCCTATCAAATATTTAATGCGCTGTTTTCCTCTGTCCTGCGAGTATCAGATTTTCCAAGCCTTCCTTCCTCATTATGTGCCCCCAAAATGTCAGCTCTCTCTTTGTATAAGCTTCCTTTTTGGTTCTATCTTCTCTAAGATCTCGTCCATGGCATACTACACTGTAGTAATATCACTACTCCTTCTTTATAGTCTATCAGTTTCTGTTACCTTTGCGTAGTCTAATCTGGTTCGTAATTAATTACTCATTAGTTAGTTCGATCCTCACTGGATAGAAATCAATATGTACTGAACGTCACCATATTTGTAACCTTATAGCGCATTCAGACAAGTTACATGTCATGGGTCCTTATCTATAACTACAGAATGAACTCTTCCTAACACTATGTATACTACGCCTCTCAAGAGAGAGGGTCGAATCGAGTCGAGCCGTTTCGGCTTGACGGTCGAACTCTCTTCCTCTGAGCAGAGAGGAACCCGGACGAGGCTCCGCCGAAGGGCAGAGTCTCGTTCGGGGAGGTTGACCAACCCGATTCTGTTTTTACAGTTTCTACAGGCATTTTTGGCCGAGCCTACGGGCTCGGAAAACCCACATAAAACTCGACCTTGTGCCACATCTTTCCCTCGTTTAAGTAAAAATCGAATCGAGTCGAGCCGATAGTAGTTCGCTCCATACCAGACTGACAGTCATACTAACACCTTCCACATTAGTATATCGTCTAATATACCTTCGTTATTTCTACTCTTGTGTTCATGTTGTTCTTCCTTGGTCCTAACCTGGACCACAACATTACACAAATGATATTACAGATGAAATATGAGAAAAATAATTATTTAAATGACTGCGAAATCTTTAAGTCTAGTTTATGTTTCTCAAATATTAATAGAGATTTCAAAATTAGTAAATATATTAATTCCTCTTGCATTTTTTCGAATATATACCGGCACAAAATCTTTTCGATTTCTCATTTTCATTTCTAGTTTTTTTTCGTATCATTACAATATAGGTAGACAGAAAAAGTTTATGACGTGGGAAGAAATTAGTAAAGAAGTCTTTTCTATCTTCCTTACATATTTGATCTTCTTGCATCTCTCATTTTCATTGCTATTATATAGGAAAAAAAAATTATGACTTGTGAAGAATTTATAGGTCTTGCATCATCCTCTTTATTTTCCTTATCTTACCCCATCTGACGATTATCTTTTATCATCATTACAATAATTTTATAGAGAAAAAAGTTTATGAAATGTGAAGAAGTTATAGAAGTTTTGCCTCATCCTCCTTACTCTCCTGATGTCGCACAATCTGACTATTATCTTTTGCCATCATTACAATACTTTATAGAGTAAAAGGTTTCTAAAATGTGTAGAAGTTATAGACGTTTTACCTCATCCTCTTTACTCTCTTGATCTTGTACCATCTGACTATTATCTTATATTATCATTGCAGAAGATTTATAGAGAAAGGTTTATGACATGTGAAAAAGTTATAGATGGTTTGCCTCATCCTCCTTACTCTCCAGATGTTGCACCATCTGACTATCGTCTTTTATTATCACTACAATAGATTTAATCGTGTTTATGACCTGTTTATGAATTTAAAACTGTTATAAGGGTTTTACTTTGCATCGAAACCTGTAGAATTTACGCCGAAATTTACCAAATCTATAGGATTACGTCATCAATAATAACGGCTAATATCATGATTCAATTGTGAGACTCTATCTCATTACTCAGTTGGAATTGATTTCACAAGACAAGCGGACTAACAATTACACCAGCTCAAAGTACTCAAATGATTTTCTAAGCGTAGAGTAGATGTGGCAAAAGGCTGAAAGAGTGGAGCACCTAGTGAGGATCGGATTCACTACTTAATCGTAATTGTGCAAGTGAGACAATCTTGCTAGTCACAACACCACGCCGAAGTGCCCACTGATCGCCAAAAGACACGGCAGTTACACGAAGAAGGATATAATATTATTAAATCTAATTGCAGTCAGAAAGTACGGTAGTTCATTCTTTCCGAAATATAAAATATTTAATAGAGTTTCTTAGCTTTAGACATATCGTAGTCGAACGGAAACTTCAATTAATCCTCGTTGCGATATTTTACACCTATGCTATGTAGTAGCATTTAAAACCAATGATTACAAAACCGCATTACAATGCGTCACATTCTTTTATCATATCAGACATTTTTTGAGTCTCAATTAATTACTTATGTATCCCAAATTATTGCGTAACTATATTTCCTGTCTCAAGGCTTCTGTAACTAACGGATTTTAGACAAGTGGTTAAAATTTTTTTGTTCAAAATTATCAATGTTTTGTTAATTCTCTATCTTCATCAATAGAGATCTTCAGTATGAGAGGTTAAGTACAATGCATTTACTAATACTTCAAACGCTTCTACTTCAACCCTGACCTAACCTGACAACTATACTCAGCTTGGGATCAATCAGATAAAAGAAGGCGTTAGTAGGAACGTTCGTGCTGTGTATGAGTGTTTTAAATCACACACTGGGGGCGCTTAAAAACAATACAAAGGGAGAAAAGAGCAAGCATGATGGAATAGAATGTACAGGACCAATAATATCGCTGATTCTTCTTTGCATTTTAACAAGGAACTCTAAATATATAAGTTGCAGCAATATCCTAATCATATGGCGACATAGTTTCTTTCTTAACTTTGATCTTCCTGTCCCCTATTATAAGTATACTTTTGTATATATTTTGGGAATGCATATCTGTTAAAATGTCAGTGTTATTTTCATTTTTGCGTAATTTAGACGGC